ACTCCCCGCCCCCCTCAACGCCTCTAACAAAACATTGCCACGGTTTGACAAGACACTGACAAAAATCGGCCGTCGAGGATGGAAGCTGAGGCCGCGCGAGCAAAAACAATTCCATCATGCGCGGCCACTGTGACCGATCCGCGACTGGGAAGGAAAGAAAGTGGCTTATTTCTTTTTCTTTTTTTTTTGCGAAAGGATTCACTAGTAAAACGTGTTCAAATACCCCTAGATGAAATCCTAGCTGCAGTTTACTGATAAATTTGAAGGTCCGACTGAAGGAACTGACTTTACCCGCTTTTAACTGATCGACCTGATATTACCCGATTTTACCCGCTCTTACATGAGGTTACAAATTTTTAGTCATCATCTACCGGAGCGGAGGAGCGACTACTTTTCAGCCACCTTCAGTTAAAATTAAGTTAATATCAGCTAGAGTCGAGGACTGATTTTTTCCTGCCATTTCATGAGATCGAACTGAGCAGTGGCTTTTGTGCACCTTGGCTTAGGCTGCGATCAGCTGAAGGTCACTTTAGGTAAGATCAGTCAAAATCCGGGACTGAATCATGTTGATAATCAACTGAATTTTGCTGTAAGACATGCGGACCGTGGATCAGCTAGACTGCAGCTTTCTTCAGTCCTTATTTTCGACTGATTAAACGTTGTGGTTTTACTGATGTTTGTAAAGACCGCCAACCAGAAAGATCAGCCCTTTCGCATTTTATTTCAGATGTGAGCGGCACACTGACAACAACAGCTGTACTACTGAAATTAGTAATGTATTCACCGGCCAGTCAGACACTGATAAAATTCAGTCTAATTCAGTCGGGACAGGGAGGATTGAAGTAAACTGAAACGAACTGGCGGCAAAATATCTAGAAGCTACGCTGGATTCAGTTGCGTTTCAGTCCGATTCAGGTGATCTAGCTTAAAGACACACAAACGCAGCTAAACTCAGTCGGTATCATCAGCCAGATTCAGTTCGCTTTAAGGTAGAAGCGAGGTGCATAATTTTAGCTGAAAACAGATCAGCAAAGTTTAAAATAAAATCGGATAAGGTCAGTAAAAAAACGAAAAAATCGATGTATCCTCAGTTAAATGCGGCTATCGGCAGTTCACTTCAGTTAGACTTTCTGTTAAGTTCAGTCGAGGTTTGACTAACGTCAGCCAGGATTTCATCTAGGGACCTATGGTAGGAACGCTGGATAAGTGTAAGATTCTATGTATTGCTCTCCGCACAGAGAAAAAAAAAATTACCAGGAGTGCAGCTAAAAATTATCTAGCTAAATTTCGCTGTTATGTAGTTAAAAATTTGCGATATAGTTAAACTGTTTGCTCTAGAAAAAAGTTTTTAGTTGTACGACAACTTTTTGGTTGTATTGCTCCAAAAGTTACCTAACCATATATAGCTAATTTTTAGCTACAAAGGTAAAGTCTTTTTTTTTTTTTTAGTTGGATCCTGTCAAACGCTGTAGTTTGCGAAGCAACTATTATCTGCAATGACTAAAAACAAGTTGGGTACTTCTGCTAGCGTACCATCGGCAACAACAACAAATCGCACAAATCACACACAAACAAAACGGTTTGTAGTGCAAAGGATTTGCTTCGAAATCCACAAGGGGTTCAGATTCGCAAGGGACGTTTTATCTCTCTTAGACACGTACAAGTGTTTCACAATCAGCTAGCGGTGTTTGTTGAACACTTGACGGTGTATAAAAATGGGCAAAGCGCTCATTGGCTCCATCACTAACCGACCTCTTCTCCTCGCACACGGTCTCGGACGTATCCCGAGTTCCAAGAGCTGTTAGCGGCAGCTACACACCCGATCGACCTCGGCTCGAGACAGGCAGCGCTGGCCTGGCAGGCGGGCTGGCGGGCCAGACAGGGCTGGCGGCCAGCAGGGGAAGGGGCGATAGACAGCCGGCAGTCTGGGCTGGAAGCAGGGTGGCTGGACCAGGGCCCGCCCGGGGCAACGTGTGTACCCATGTGCACTGCGCGCCCTGCTCCACTCCAGGCCGGAAGGGAGGGGGGGGATGATTTCCCGGAAAAAAGGGGACGAATATTACACTTAGAAAAACGATGAACTCGATTTGGGGAACTTTAAGTGAGTCGTGTTTTTAGTCCAAGCGAATTATCCTATACAATCCTTAAATTTGAACAACATGCATGTGATGAAAATCTACTTTTGATTTCCACGATTTATTGTAAAAAGGTGCACAAACTCGTGCTGACGTAGTATCACTCAGATGAGAAACGACCCTACAAACTGCACTTTGATTGCCATCAGCACAGGTTTTCCGAAAAGACGCTGAAAAGAGGTATTTTTGCCAGGTGTCGTGAGTCTGTCGTCGGAAATCCGTCCAACAGTAGACCAGAAAATAAAACTTAGTAAAATCGCAAAAAAAAAGACGTCGGTTTTGGCTAACGTAAAATTTTACCGAAAAAGTGTCAAAAAGTTGTAGTTTCACTCTCCAAAAACAGAATATCCGAATCAAGGGAGGACAAACCACAGACATTTTCCGACCTTAGGTTGACGACAGCTGGTTGAAACTACCTCAAAACTCCGTGTCACTGGTAAGCGTATTCTTTTATGTGTAGAGACAATGTCAAAACGACGCGAGAATAACGACTAGCGTCTGGAACTACGTCAAGCCGACGACAGATTGGCGATGACCGAAGTATTGTAGTTGGAACTACGAAATGTCGACGATGGACGGACTATGATAGGAATTTTGCAATTGGAACTACGTATTTCCGATGACAAATTGGCAACTGTCTGTCAAAATGAGTACGGACTACGTATTGCGGACGACAGATGGACGACGATTGGCGAATCGACGTCTTTCCGGCGTCTTTTCGGAAAACCCGTGCTGATAGGTATTCACGGAAGGCCGACACTGACCGGTTCTTAGAATACCACTCGATTTACTTGAACGTATCGTGTGAGCTCGAGTGACTAAGTTTGATACAGGTGCACAGGCCACCCACGCCACCTTAGCGATAAGCGGATCGACCTCTTCCGGCGAGTGTTCCTATAAAACCAAAGAGTCTTTTCAATCACAATTATACACTTATTATCTGTTCCACCATGAAGACCATCATGAGGACTGCCCTGCTGGTCTGCATGCTCCTCGCAGCGCTCCAGTTCGCTCAGGTAAAAGAGGACTAGTAGTACCAGCTTTGTTCGCAACACTGTAGCTGCAAACATTTACTAACGTTTTAATTGTGTAAAATGGTCCAAAGAACTGCATTTAAGTGAGCAACGACTATGTTGTAAAGTTCTTTGAACTCACAATCGGGTTGTGAAACCGTGGGTGAGATTTACAAAAATTTGAAAGCAAAATGATAGACGAGAAGTCAGTTCTTTATACGGGAACCTGCCGAACCGAAGTTTTATTCAAAAGAGTGTTCTGCTTTCTAGGCGAGCCCGAGGCCGAACCTCTCAGCTGCCCTGACGGAAACTAAGGTTACCAGTTTATGTATGTAATTCATGTCGACTTTTTCGTTTTAGTGTCAAACTCGGTCAAACTTAAAACGCTGAACTAACCTGTTTTTTAATTCTTTGTCCCGCCAGCTGCCACGTGCATCGCTCAAATATTTTTCAAATTCTTTGAGGATGTGAAATATGTGATGTACACTTGCGACGACCTGGCGAGGAAGAACCCATCCCTGCCGTTTATGATCACGTTCCCCATCTGCGCCGTCATCGCTGGAGGAACAGACTTCATTCGCATTGCAAAGGACGTGTCCGAGACATGCTGAGACACTACGTTACCGACAGCCTGTTGTTGTTCAAGTACACTCTTGTCTTGTTTCTGAAATTAAAATGTACTTGACTTGACTAGACTTTTTGGTTTTCTTTTCCATCCCGATCATTGGCTTGAATTACGAGCAGCACGCGCATAGGTCGTGTCACTGCACACCAACTAACTAACTAACTAACTAACTAACTAACTAACTCACTCACTCACTCAGTCACTCACTCACTCTTCATAAACTGAAGCAGACGCAAACACTTATTGAGGTATTACAAAAAGTGTGGGTTCATCATCACACTCTGGCTTACAAACTTTGACGCGGGAAAGTTTTACTACGTTTTTATCAAGTTAGCGACACCGCGGCTCCCAGTGCCCCTCTCGAGGATCCACGGACATGCGGATGACCACGTTGTGGTCGCGCTCGACTTGTCAAATTAGAACACGGCACACACAAGAGGCACTTGCTCCTTGCTCGGCCCGCGCATTGCGTGACGGAGAGATTGACCTGTCTAGAATAGCCGTATCTCCCATAAAGTGTGTAGGGCCTTTCCTTGCGAGGTACACCCGACTCAGGCTCTCCAGTTCTCCATTCTCCAACAAAAGTTAAAGAGATGAAATTTTTCTATAACTTTTGTTCTTTAGCATTTTTTTTTGTGGGACTGCTTTTTACATTTGGTGCTCTCAAGTCCCAGTGATTCCCGTGCATTGCCCCCCCCCCCCTCCTAAACGTGGCGGTAGGGCCTAAACGGCTTTTAGATAGAGCAAAACGGACGAAATTTTCTTGCCAAGGGTCGCAATTTGACGAGTTACCTGTAAGAAAGTAATATTGAAAGTTATAAAAAATAGTTGAAATAGCAGCTTTTGGGAACGAATACCCAAAATAACTTCCAAAAATGAATTTTGGGAAAAAAAAATTGATGTGTCCTTCGATGACACATTAAGACTAACAATTTCCCAAAGTAGAATGAGGAGGAGGAGGAGGAGGAGGAGGAGGAGGAGGAGGAGGAGGAGGAGGAGGAGGAGGAGGAGGCCCGTTGGATTCAAGACGCACTCCGGGCTCCTCTGCGCCGCGCCGCAAGTCAATGCCTCCACCTTGGCCGTGACGAATCCGCCCATCCTCCATTCAGCCGGGCTGCTGATGGTCGGAGGCACTGCGGGCCACTGCGGCCCGGTAGCCGAGCGACGCCCCGCCCCTCCCCACCCCGCCCCGCGGCGACCAGGAACGGAGCGGTGATGCAGAACCGAATGGTCCCGCTCCAACGCGTCCGACAGGCTCGCTGGCCACTTGTTTCGCCTTCTCTATCTCTCTCTCTCTCTCTCTCTCTTTCTCTGTCTCTCATTCTCTCTCCCTTGGTTCCAAATATCGGACCGGTATCATCTTTCGCCCCGCCACCATACTACAGGCCTGTCCACCAGAACAACCGCCAGGTTCAGGAGAGGGCAGCGGGTGAACTGCAGACGCGTAACGACGCGCTGTGATGACAGCAGCAGCTACGCCGCCCTAGGCGCTCTACCACCTCTGCCCTCTCGTCCCCGCCCCTCTCCTCAGCAGCTAGCCCAGCGGAGAGAGAAACACCTCATGAAGCTTTCATCCAAATTGGGCGGCGGCCGAAGGAGGAGACCGCGCGGCGGCCGCGTGGTATCGACACGCTGGGGGGGAGGCCTTGGAACGACCCCGGGGGATATTAACTGGCGATTGGGGGCTCGGCGCGCCCCGCGGCCCCCGGGGGACTCCCCCCCAGGCTCCGCCGCCGGCGACCCAACATCACCGCGGATGGATACGAGGCCCGCGGGGGCGCGCAGGTCAGGTCACCGCCGCCCCGCCCCGCCCCGCCCCGCCCCGCAAATATCAATCCGCCGGGCGAAGATGAAAGGGCGGGCGGTTTTCTTTTCGACCAGAGAGAGGGTCGCGGATAGGCGGTCCGGCCGAGATACGCGTCAGCTAATTTCAGCAGTCCCCAAGATGACTATCTTTATGCCAAAAGGTAAAAGCCCCTCCCCTACCCCCTCCTATACCTCCCTATACAGCACGGGTTGCGGGTTTGCGCATGCGGATTTTTTTTTAAAGCAGCGGCTTGTGTCTTTGTATATAGGTTTCTTGCTCTTAAGCAGAACAACACATCACGCAGAATTTCAAGAGTCACTGCCGCAGTACGATATAATTACAGCAAGAAGTGTGTGGCGGGGACACCTCGCTTCGGCGGGAACATTCAAACGTGAGGGCAATAATCTTTTTGTCCACACCATCAACATGAGAAGCTAACTTTCCTCACTGAAATCCGTTTTGTGATACTCTTACTAATTTTTGCGATAACTGGTGTTTTGCGATTCCCACTCTAATGGGCATGATAACTCCAAAAAATGTGATAAAAGTATCTCAATAATGTGATACTTTTATCACATTTTTTGGGTTTATCATGCCCTTTAGCGTGGGAATCGCAAAACACCAGTTATCGCATGGTTTTGTGTTAAAAGTATCGCAAAACCATACTCAGTGCTGAAAATGAACAAAACAGTTTTGAAGTCGCACACGGTAGAGTACTCAACTCACCGGCGACTGCGAGTATGTTATGTGGGTGAGTAAAACGATGACGAGGGGAGAGGGGGGGGGGGGAGGGGTAGCGCCGTCGTCTAGCCACCGCGGAGCAGTCTCTCATACGGTATAGTGGTCCGGCGCAGTCGCATATGCACCGAATGCGGTCATTATATCCCAGGGGCGTAACGTCCCCCCCCTCCCCTCACACACAAATCAACATAATGCCCCATCCCACCCGAGGAGACGCGCCCACCGCGCCGCGGGCCAGGGCAGGCTCCGGCCCCGCGGACCCCCCGCCGGCGGCGACCTCAATGCAGCCCGGAGTGCTCCTCTGGCGACCTCGACGATGTGGGGTACTCCTGAGCGAAACTTCAAGAAATCAGAAAAAATTAAGGCAATAAGAAACCAGAATTATTTTTAATAAAAGCTTGGAAAATATAAGAAAAATCAAGAAAAAATCTCAAAGTCAAGCAAAAAAGGCCAGAAAAATTGAAGTTAACGTTTTTGAAGAAAAAAAGGGATAAGCAAGTTGTGCAATAAATCCGGAATCAAAGCTCAAGCTCGAACCGATTTCGTGAAAAAGCACTCGATCTACTTGAACCTCGCGTGAGCTCGAGTGGGCTGAGGTGAGATCGGGTACCTACTCGCGCCACTTTGCGATAGTAGACCGACCTCTAGCAGTGAGTTTTCCTATAAAACCACCGAGTCTTTTCAATCACAATCACACACTCATCTGATCCCACCATGAAGACCATCATGAGGACTACCTTGCTGGCCTGCATGCTACTAGCAGCGCTTCAGTTCGCTCAGGTAAGACGGGACTGGAGGACTAAAACATCTGCCTCTCTCGCAACTATGTAGCTGCACAAATTCATGAACATTTAAAAAAAGGTGATTCAAAGGCACGGTTGGTTCTGTTCTCTGAACCGCGTTGAAGAAAGCAACAACGATGTTGTAAAGTTCGTTGAACTATTACTTAGGTTGCAGAAGTTCTTTAAAAGGAATTCTGCCGGATAAGAGATCCCTGAAATTTAATTCAAATTTGTGTTCCCTTTTTCTAGGCGAGCCCGAGGCCGAGCGTTTCAGCTGCCCTGACGGAAACTAAGGCTACTAACAGTCTATGTAAGACGTGGTTCACGAGTACTTTTTCGTTTTTAGTCTCAAACCGAAAACACGGAACTAAACTTGCTTATTCCCTGTATCACCAGCTGCCACGTGCATCGTTCAGATACTTTCCCAATTCTTTGAGGAAATGAAATATTTGGTGTACATCTGCGTAGAAGAGGCAAAGGAGGACCCATCCCTGCCGTTCATCATCAAGTTCCCCATCTGCGCCGTCATCGCTGGAGGAGCAGACTTCGTTCGCATTGCAATGGACGTGTCCGAGAAGTGCTGAGACACTGCGTCACCGACAACCCGATTAAGTTGAAGTGTCAGCAGTCTTGTCTTTTTTTAAAACGAAAATATACTGCTGCACTATGAACCCTTTTGATTTTCTTTTCCCATCCGCATGCATCGTAAGGTTAAATGACTAACATTATTTGCAAATGTCTTTATGGACCGCCTACTTATTTTTACCCGCTATTCCCGGTCGGTGTTGGCTGTTGGCTCGCTGTTGGCCTACTATCGCAAAGTGGCAAAGCTGGCCGCGTCTCTCATCACCTCGGGCCACTCGAGGCTCACGCGAGGCTCAAAGAGATAGAGTGCGCCTTCAACCTTTGTGCAACTGCTTGACACTTGTAAGTGGGCAAAGGCGAGTAGAATAATAGCAAGTGTGTAACTGTGTAGTTGTGCACGTGCAGGTGCATAAATTCTCAGTTGAGCGCATCCTTAGATCGCTCACTGTAAAGGAAGTGCTCCACTGAGGAGTTGCACACTTGCAAGTGCACACCCACCGAGTTGAACACTTGAAAGTGTACAACTACAGAGTTGCTCACTTGCAAGTATTTCACAGCCAGTTACACACAAACGTAACGTTCATCGGCGTTTTCACGCGAATGGCGTTCTATTTGGAGGTTTCTGATTGTGGATTTATTGCGCAACAAGGACGGTTCGGTCACATGGCACACAAAACACCGCCCGGGCCGCGTCAGCTGCGCTGGTGACATCACGGCAGCCCCTTATAGTTAGTCCAGCGTCGTGTCCGAGGCGGGGCCTCTAGGGCGGGAGATCTGTTTGTGGGGCGCGGGCGGCACCAGGCCCAGCGGGCCACCACGGGCGATCACCAGGCGGGCCGGAAACGGAAAGCAGCAAACTCAGGGTGGGGTTT